CGGCAAATGGAATGATTCCTGCCCATTCCTTTGGCCTAATGCCCAAGAACTCAGGGAGGAAACGATCCTGTTCGCCTTATACATCAGGATTCCACTCCTGCCCTAGGAGGGAATGGTGCTCTGCACCCAGGCCCACAGGGACTCCAGAAGGTCAAAAGAGATCACTGAATACACCAAAGTCATTTTTTAGTTCCTTCCCTGATGGTTTCTTAGTATATAATGTGTATCACAAAAACCCACTGATAGTATAGGTAATTCAAATGTGAGAAGTTGGCTTGATAAAAAAGGAAAGGAGAGTAATGAAAAGCTCATATATGTTCCTGAGAGCCTCCTAGCTTCCTTTTCACACTTTGATTTCCCATGGCAGATTCTCTGCCTAACTGCACATAAGCTTTGTAAATATATAAACATCTATATTTAGGGTGTCTTCCTAAGGGTTTCTCTGTTGCTTATAGCTCAGTCATCGTGATTCAATAATTTTTAAGAAGCCAAAGCCCATGCTACAGTAACAGCAGTAGAAACCCCAAATCTATTAAATTTTTCTAAAAAATTCATTTATGTAGGTATTTACTTATATATTCAATCATTCATTGTTCAAAATTGTTTTCTTCCCAAAAATGTTTATTCTTTTAAGAGTAAAGAATCAAAGCTAAACACAGTATAGTGTCTTCCTTAACTGGTCAGGAGTAAACAAAGAAATACTCTGTCATATTGATGAAAATTCATTTAGCTGAGAAGTTCTGTTAAATCAGTCATTTTTTTCTCTTGTTGCTGCTTCTGGCCAGCACTGTTGTCCTAGCCCTGGGGCAATTTGTGTCTGAAGAATTTCAAATGACTGCAAGCCTGTGCCTGCACGATGGCAGCGTGTATTCCACTTCCATTTTATATTCAGACATCAGTAGATTAAAATGAAGTTGTGGGTATGAAAATCTTCTTGGTTTTTATGCACACACTACAAGCATTGTGTTGAATACTTTATATACATTATTTTATTTCATCTGTACCATTTTGTGGATTAAGAAAAAAACAAACAAAAAAACGAAACTTTGAGGATAAATGAACACTCCCTGGTGTTCTAGTGGTTAGGATTAGAAGATAAATGACCTGCCCAAAGTCAGACAGTGCTTAAAGCAAATGTTTCAACTCCATGATCTCCAGTGTATGCCTTTAGGTAAGGACTGAGTATGATCAGAGGAGTTCAGGGGTGAAATAGGAGGTAGCATGTTACTGTATTTTATTTCCATAGCCCAAAAGGTTGACCAAATTTACAAGCTGCCTTTCTTTTATCTGTATTTAGTCCCTATTTATTTTTCTCTCAATCTTTACATAATAAAGCACGACTTCCTGCTTTGTGAAAGAGTACTTGAAATCTGTATGCTTATTAGTTGTACAATTCTTTTTGGTGGTGGAAGGGGTGATGGAAGTATGTGTGTGTGTGGGGGTAAGGGAGTATCTAAAATTTCATCATATTATTTTTCTCAGAACTTGTAACGGAAGTTTCTCAACTTGAAATGTCATCAATTTGGCCTCACTCAGGAAGTTGCAAGGCACTTGACTGTAACCTCAGTGAATTGGATGCTGTTTAAAACCTAATAGTCATTAGCTGCCTTTTATTTTAGAAGTTTTTAAAGTTATTTTATTTCTTAGCTTACTCTGTGGGCAACTTTGTTTTTTAAAAAACATCTTCTAATAAAAAGTACTTTAAGATGAAGATATATTCTTTTTTTGTATTATCCCTAGGATACAGGGAAAAACACTTTAAATTATCTGGATTTTGTATTTATCAAAAATAGTGTAAGGGTTTTATCCATTAATTTGTAATAAAATTTCTCTAACCATTTATGCTGTCATAGCATATTTGAATTTGCAAATATATAAAATCTCCGGGACCAGATAATTGTTGCTTCTCACAGTGGTTTTAGAGCTGTATGTATATTAAAAGACTTAGCTAAATCCAGTAGGAAAGGAGAGGATCTGGTGAATTTCTAATGCAGATTATCTGGTCTAAAGAATATTTCTTGACATAATCTTGGGCAACGTGTATGTCCCATATCTAAATATTATTGAATGAATAAATAAATGTATGAGACTGGAAATATCACCAGGTTTCAATGTAGAAACAAAAAAGCCAGTAAGGTCATCATAAATATTAAAATGTCAACTTCTAACCACCTTCATATCTGCTTTTGAAAGGCTTAACCTCATGTCTCTCTTCCAGATAGAAGCAGAAAAATCTTCAAGTCCCTCAACCCTTTCACACCCTTGGTGAGCTATTTCTTACCTTTCCACTTCTCTTTGTGGGGCTTTTCATGGTCAAGAGAAAGCCTGTTTTCCTTCTGTTAATATCATTTCCATTGTAATGAGTACACTGTGGCTAGAGCTTCATGGATCCTGTATCTGCTAGGTAAAGAAAAGGCAGCAACACTCCCTTAAAGTGCTATAAGCTTTCACTACACATAGTCCTTTGCAGTGTAATACTCAGAAACTGAGGCCTATCTTTCCTGGCTACTTGAACTTAACGGTTTTCTGCTTTCTTCCTATCTCTCTTCCTTACAGCAATCCAGTCTCCTTTCCTCTGATCAAACTGCTTAAGACCTTGCAGTTCTATTACTCAAAATTCATTTCCTTAAACCATTAACTGGTTCAATTTTAAAAGATTGAAGTAGTGTCTGAATATACTTCATGGGAGATTTCTACTATTTTCTTATCAATTAGTTCCTTAGATATTTCCTAACCTACAATTTCCTGGACATCTCCATAAAGAAGTAGTACTCTATTGACCAAATAGAGGCAACATACTGAGTAAAAACCTTTTTAAAAGTATGGTCAATATCTGTGCTCTGTCCAAGGATGTCATAGAATAATTGGGTGGGAGTGGGAGCCATAGCAGGAGTGGGACCATGATGGAAATAGCATCTTATAGGTTTGAAATTGAAATTTCATTTTTGGCTGTGAAGGAATAGGACATGTTTTTTTCCTGATCTGGGCACTGGGATTAAATTTCATATATCTAGAAAAGGATACCAGAGGTTAACAGTGTAATGTTACCTTCCAGCATTTGGAATCACTTCTTATTTCCTGGTTTTTCCTATTTTAATATGTCTCATTTCTTTAAAACATTTAGATCACTTTGGAATGTATTTACTACAGTTGCATGGCATTTGCAGGTAAATGGATGGAGTTGGAGAATATCATGCTAAGTGAAGTAAGCCAATACCCCCCAAACAAAGGCCAAATGTTCTCTCTGATAAGTGAATGCTGATCCATTATAGGGGGAGAGAGGGGAGGAGAAAAATGGAGGAATTTTGATTGGGTAAAGGGAAGGGGTGTGGGGAGTGTGCATGGGGATAGGAAAGATGGTGGAATGAGATGGACATCATTACCCTAGGTACATGTATGACTGCACACATGGTGTGACACTACATCGTGCTCAACCAGGGAAATGAAAAGTTGTGCTGCAATTGTGCCCAATAAATCAAAATGCATTCTGCTGTCATATATATCTAATTTAAATAAATTAATTAATAAATACAAAGATAAAATCTTTCGTATGGGAAGTTATCATATTCAATGCACTTTAGCAAACACTTCTTAAATGCAGACTAGCTGGCATATCTTCTTAGGCACTAGGAATTAAAAAAGACCAAGCAAAACAAATTCTGTCCCAAGGAGGCCACAGTAGGGCAATTCTCATACAAATAGATACTAAGTGATAATTTCTATAATCAAAAACTTGAATATTGTTATCAGAACACAGAGAAGGGGAGCCATGGAAGGCTTCACAGAGTGACTATTTTATGATAGTTTGACATGGAGAACAGAGTGAGAATATAGAATATAGCAGGAGACACTCAGTAAAAATAAATAGCATATGAAAAGCCATAAAGGACTCTGCCGTGCGACCAGTGCGCGAGCTTCATATAAGAAGGTTCAAAGCATAGAAATTTTACTAGTGAGTTTTAAAATTAAAGAGACATACTCTCATTACCGTTAATTCCCAGCTCTGGAGACGGCGGAGTAAGCTTTTATTGGGGAACAAAAAATTCAAGGGAAAATCCCATCCAATGAAGGTCGAGGGGGGCAGCATTCCAAGGTCAGGGTCAGTGATTGGTCTTCGGGTCAGTGGCCAGGCACACGTCCACATGGACAAGCCCTCTTACCTGGGACAGGGTGGGGAAGGCTCTGACACAGTTGTCTAAGCGCCTCTCACCCAGCCAGTGAGGTAACTCAAATCATGTGCGAGGATGGCTTCCCACAAAGGACAGAGTAAATTCAGAAAATTGGAAGTTGATTGTTATGGCTGTCATGTATATTGAGCGGTGAGTATAGAGATACAACTCATAAGATAAGTAAACAGTGATTGGGAAACACCTTATCCATCATGGAACAGTGTTTGGGTATTATATTAAAACTGAATTAAGGCCATCAAAAACTTTTGAGCAGGGAAGTATATGATTTTATTTAGGTGTTTGAAAGATCTTTTTAGAGTATATGGAAGATAGACTAGAAGACAGTAAATCATGTGGAAAGATACTATAGTATTCCACACCTGAAAACATGAGATTTCAAAGCAAGATTAAGACAATAAGAATGGATAGTAAAAACCATGAGTATGAAAGAATTTCTAGAGATAGGATCTATAGAGCCTGCTTACTTATTGAATTTGTATGAGAAAGATATTTTTGAGATAAGAAAAGCAGTGATTTCCTGCTTTCATGTCTGGGATGTTGATATCAATAAAGAGAGGTTGGGAATAAAAAATGAGAGACAGATTTAGAGAAGAAAAAAGATTTGGCCATATCAAGTTAAGGTTTCCTATGGATATTCGAGAGCTGGATAATAGACTCAGGGCTGAAGAGATGGGGTTAGGCTGAAGTAATTGTTCTGGGAATCATTAATAGTTTTTAAAAAGTAAGGACTGCTTATACAACCTCATTTGGCAGAAATTCCCTTTAAAATCTACTGTTAAAACACTGTAAGTAACACTTGCCTGGAAAATATACCATGCATATAGTTCTTTTTATTATTAACGTTAGGAAATATAAAAATTAAAAACATTAACATTTGAAAACACCTTCACAATTATTAACATTAATCTTGTTAAATCAAGAGTGATAACATATTGTTCTCTATATTTTTATACCAGATAACAGAGTGAAGAAAGCAACAAAAATAATTACTAAAATTCTACTGTGGATCAGGATAAAATGTCTCCAATATTAACTCACACATTCTAATAAATGCAACAATGAATTTAGATTCTGCTTGGACAAATTGATTCAACAGAAATACCCTGTAAAACTATTTTTCACTATTAGGCACAAATTCAAAACTGACAAGTAAAAAAGTAGTTTTTTTTTTCACTTTTATCCTCTTCACTTATAAAATAAAGTCTAATAAAGCATATATCACACAGAAAAGTCTTACATTGTACCTTCTCTAACAGAGGCAAGTGAAATATTAACAAATAGTATTTAAAATAAATATACATTTTTATTAATGTATACAAATATATAATAATTAGGAAAGTTAGAGCTATGAACTCTTATGTACAATAACCTCAGATTAAAACATTTTAACTTTGGGTTGTATTTACAAACATCTTTTTTCCTCCATGTGATCTTGTGGCACAGGAAGAATTAAAATGGATGGCATCTGTAGATACATAGTTGAGAATGTGTGTTCAGTCACTTGGCTCTGTGATAGTCATCTTCTGTACCATGTCAGGCAGATTTTCAGACTCTAGATCTTCTTTGCCATTATCTGAATTTTCTGATGAGATGTAACAACCAGAGTCCCTTGGGCAGTCATCTAACTGTGACTTATTTAAGGAAATGTCTGGGCTTAAGGATAGGGGCACAGATTCATTTTCTTGTTCTTCAATAACTATAAATGAAAAAAAGGGCAGGAATCAGGCAAAGCCAAGGAAAGTTTTATTCATGTATTCATTTACTTTAAAGCATTATCCTATTTAACTGTTCCAAACTTGACTTCATTGCAATGTCAACTTCTACAAGTAAAATATATATATTTGTTTATGATAAAAAGACATTTGCACTCAAATATTCAAACCATTGTTTTCTTAGAAGACAAAGTTTGCCCTTCATTGTTCACTTTCAGTTTTGTGGAATCCATAGGAACTGCTACATAAGCAAAGATCAATATGGACTCACATTTTACATTAGTAATATGTTGCCAGAGGAAGCAGATTGTATCCCCAGTGTGACTGATGCCTTGTCCAAATACCCCTTAAAGTATCGTTAGAAAAACTCATTTGTAGTTTAAATGAACACTCCAAGTCAATAGTGATCTCTGTGAACAATTCCAGAATCATGATTATGTGGATTAATGAATAAAAATCACTATTAGCAACAGTGTACTGTAGCATTTCAATTAGGTGGATTCGACCAGTAAAACTTTAAGTAGCCAGAATTTCCTTCTGTATTCATCAGAAAAGTAGACATCAGTAACCAGGATACTTTTAGAGAGTAAAACACCAAAATTTCCATCAAATTTGCCTTACAAATATTTAGTTTGCCTTCCATGTCTGTGTAGTCTGAGTAAGGATCATAATTTGATACTTCTGAGTCTTTAAACCATTTTTTAAAAAATATCCATCAGGCATTACCTTTTAGAAAAAAAAGTTGATGTTAGAAGTCTAACAAAATGTATTTCTACACAATCTAAGCAAACTTATAGAGAAGTAGTCTTTTCAGAGTCCATTAGTATCAGCTTTCTCTCTTTCAATATCAAATGTCATTGCCCTCCCTGATACCAGTAGATGAACATTTTTCCTGCATCACAAGCTGAGTTGTTCAGAGAAGAAATGGGTCTCAGGCTACCATCTCTTAGCTGCATTAGCATGTCCTCCTCTTTCCCCTTCCAATCGTGTGACTTTTAAGCTTTAGCAATTTAAAGTGCCCCACACTGGAAGAACTATGCCCATACACTCTAAGGTTGGGACAAGAACTCTGCTGTCAAAGGCTTTATTCATTCCACTGCACTTCATCCAACTCAAGAGAGAAGAAAAGTAAATCTGAACTTCAACATCTTAAAGAAAGAAATTGGATTATTTTCTTCAATAGACTAATTGAATAATAAAGCTAATAATGATAAATAATAAGAATAAAAATCACTAAATTATAAATAATAATAAAGCAACTAATTAATCTATCTTTAGGAAACCCACCCTTTATTTTAATTATACATTTCCTGATTTTCAAATGCATTTTCTAAGTTCTAGATACATTTCTAACATTAGTTTATAGTCAACTGTGCATCTAGTTGTCCTCAGCCTGTGTTACATGTGACAATTGATCCCTGGTGACCTGAGGAATATAACAAATTAACTTTTCTTTGGTGTCAGAATTGTAGTAGCTATGCACCATCCATGGGAGAACTGAGAAAACTGTCACTTAAAATATTTTGTGATTTTTGCACTTTACATGAAGAACACTGGTTAAGAAAGACTGGAAGAAAATGATAAAAAAAATGCTTCTTAGTTTACTCATCATCAAAATGAATTGCAACAGTTCCTTTAACCTTTTCCTCAAGGCTTTTATTTGTAATAGTGAAACCACATTTATGCTATTCTTCTGAATCTTCCCCAGATTCTCCATTACTTTATTTAACTATGGATTCAAATATCAGTTATGAAATTGACTGATGTTATAATAGTTCTAGGAGACTTAATTTCAATATGCAGCTCTTTGGATTGTTATTTTTAAATTTTAGCTACCATGAAGTATTTTTCTGTTTATTAGTCATAACAAGATTTAAGTTTGGGAGGATTTACTTACTATTCGCCAGTTTCTATATGAGTCTCAGTCACTCACTTTTGTTTCTAAGCCCTTCTTTTATGAAAAAGTAGCAATGAAATGGGAACTCATTTTCTAAGGAATTGCTTTTCCTCCTGCCTTTCCATCTTATTGCTACTGAAATGAAATGAGCCAGTTCCGTATTCCATTATCCAAGTGTTTCTGGAAAATGCCAGAGGAATCAGCCCTTGTGTATGCATCCTATAACTTTAATAGTGATCACCACATTTGGAGTGAGACCCTCTAGTCAAAATGGTCGTGAGGATAAGGCCACATTTCCCCAGATTAAGTTTAGGCCTATTACCTCAATGCAAAATTAAAAGAACTGATAGACTTCCCTTCAGATTTATATCCTAAGCAAGACTTGGCATAATTAAACCTGTTTGTTCCCAATACTCTGGTTTTTTTGTTTAGGTTGATTACCAATTGTGGAGCTCTCTTTAGGAGGGAAAACTGAGGCTTAAAGAACTTTCATTTAAAAAAAAAGGAAGAAGAGTACTTAGATTGTTGTTCCATCCACAGAAGCCTCTATGCATTTACCTCCAGGGGTAACACAGCACACAATAGTAAATGATAAACTGACTTTACTGGATAATGTCATTCTTTAATATTAATAATAAAAACATATTTGTTTTTGTTTCCACCTGGGAAATGCTATATCACATTCTTTAAATTCTAGGAATTGGTTTGTTTTAAATACAGGTTATATATTGTAGAACCCTTTTATCTATAATTTTTATGGAAAAAGGAAATAGTTTCTCAGTATGAAAGTTATGCAGCACAGTAATTTACAGAACAGCAGTAATTTGCTAAATGATTTCCTAGTGAAATGAAAACATGACTATGCCTCCTCAAATGCTTCCCACCAGGTTTGCAATAATTTCAGGCAGGTGATCAGCTGGAGCCCCTCAACTGTAACTATAAAAAGAAAAAGCAAGTCATTATGTTTTATTATGGAGATGAAAGCTATATAGCATCCAAGCTTTGTGTTTGAAGGGTCAAGATTTTCCTTTTTTTTGCTTCTTTTCTTCCTGACACTAATGACAAGATTGGTGCAAACCTAGATCTTAGGCTATGGAGATATATATATATATATATATATATATATATATATATATATATTTTTTTTTTTTTTCTCCTGCAGATGGGATGAATTCACACTAATGCATTCACATTTTCTTTCTAAGCCATTTAGCCCCTTCATGTGGCCATGAAACATAGTAATGCTAACTGGCCTACCCAGAAATTGAGAACACAACCTTCATCAGTTTTATCCCATGGTCCAATCATCTGAGCTAACCAGGCAAGTAACACATTGGAATAAGAAACAGTTTGCCTCCAAAATTAGACTTCCCATAGGATATCTGAGTGTGTGTGTGTGTGTGTGTGTGTGTGTGTGTGTTTATACCAAAATGTTTCTGATAGCATGTTAAGTTAAAAATGTATAATAATGTATTTTGCTGTTATAATATAACAACATATACACATAAACATATAATTCACAAGTGAAAGTTTTCAATTTTTACATAGACTTTTTCTTTATTTCTCAGATCTGCAATGTTTTATTTTTAAATAATAAAAAATTAAAATGTATAAATTTTCAATTATAGATCAAATGTTTCATAAATGTCCCAAAGACTATATATTTTCAAATATGGAGAATTATGAATAGTTATTGAAAAAAGGCTTTTCTCTTATTGCTGCCATTTAATAGAGATATAATAGATACTCAGGAAAGCAGCTGTTCTATACTACATGTCATGAAAATAAGCTTATGTTAAGAAAAGATTATTTAGGAAGTATTTCATTACAAAGGACTAATTTGAATTTTAAAATATCTTATTTTCTATCAAAATTATTATGGAATTTTACAAAGCCCATGGATCAACATTTAAAGATAGTCATCAATGTTGAAAAAAAGTGGCATGGTGATTAAAACAGAAAGACAGCTAATATAATTATTCATAAAATAATTATATTGGAGTTGTGACATTTAATTAATTGAGTATGGGCAATCTCAATTATACTAAAAGTGAAGAAAGCTTTCAGGAAATAAAACTAGATCCTTATTCTGGGATTCTTGTACTCTAAGGAGAGAAATCTTCCGCATACTAACATATAAGAAAATTAAGGTTAAATAAAAAAGGAAAACTACAGATTTTTGCTTGACTTTACCAGGTATCTTTACCCAATTCTTACAGAATTTGACTTATTTGCTTTAGGCATCAAGTTCCTATTTCTTTGACTCACATACTACAAAATATTCCAGCCCAGAGAGTATAGGAAAATGCTCAGCCAAAGTGTTCATTAAACAATTTTTAATAAGCAAAATGATGTTTAGATTGATTAAAGGAAGTAACAACTAACGAATGAAAAAAAAAAAAAAAAAGGAATTTTGTTGAAATTCAAGTGAAGATGCACTTGATTCTATGAATAATCCTCTTTTTCTCTAGCTCTGCAACCCCAAAGGGGAAAAACCAAGCAGACATAACTTAGGATGGCTACAAACTTCAGTCTCATGTTTTGGCTCCATTCAAATCTCTCAAACTAAAACCCGGAAATTCTCCATGTAACTGTAGGTATGCTTTTGTAATGGAGCGACTTTCTATGCAGGAAGATTACATAGATAATGCAATGTCTTTCGGGTACTTTTGATTTCACCTTAAGCATTCCTTAAATTACCTAGACACTATTATTTGCTAATTGAAGACAATATTTGATGTTTATTTTGTTTGATTACTAATCTACCTTATGGAAAAACAGGAACCCACTCATGAAAAAAATATCAGTCTCTGTTGATCTGTTGAGGCCATGAGAGAATATGGAGTTGAAATGATTCCCATTCTTTTTGCACATCTCTCTTTGCAGCCTGGCATCATTGTCTGTCCTCTAATGAGACATGTACTGGAGATAAATCTTTTCCCTTACATACAGTGAACTCCACTTCCACTGTGCTGAGTACTTAGTAGGAGCAGAGCATACTCATTGAAGAAGTTGATAACTGAGCACCAAAATTGTTGGTGGTGCCAGACTGCTGCTCAATCCAACTACAGCCTCCCATAGAAACCT